TCTCCACTAATAGCTTTCAGTTAATGTTTGTGGTTAGAATGAGAGTCAACTAAGTTCTATGGTCTGAGCATCTTCAACATCAGTTACTTCATCGTCGACATCGGGTTTCTCCAGCTTCCCTCCTTTCCTTTCATTTTTTCTTACACCTGCACCGATGTACAGATTCAAACATCGATCAATACATATACGTTGATTTTTAGATCTTCATCACCACCAATTTGAAGATATAACCACCAATCCACCCCCACACACGAGGTAAGCAACTGTTATCGTCCAGGTTCCTTGCATCATCGATCCTCCCTGACTTGAAAAAGCCCATGATTCGAGGTAATACTTGTCAAATTTGTGTTTTTAGGTTACTGATGGTAGAAGAGAAAGGGGTTGGTCGAAATTTTGGGAACAAAGGGTGAGGGCGATGGTGATCGACCTGGGGTGGGGCGGAGGTGAACTTTCATGGAAGAAAATTAAGTGTAGATCGTCTCTTACGCCGGGATTAGGTTTGAGGAGCAAAAGGAAATCGGGAAAGGGTAAGGGTAAGAAATGAGATTGGTGTGGACCCACATACTTATAATCATTTTTTTCTAATAGAATAACATTAATAATAATACAATGATAACAAACAGAAAGGACAATATGGTCTTTTTTAAAAGTGGAAGGGACTAAACGCGCAAGAAAAACGTATATTGGGGACGATCCGATTTAAAAAAAGTTGTTAGGGACCAAACGTGCAAATGACCCAAGTTAAAAAGTATTTGACTTAATTTATGAGTTTTTTAAAAAAATGTTTGAAATAGCTTTTATAATAGCAAATGTAAATAAATCAAAAAGTTAAAAAGTATTTGACTTAATTTGTCTTTTATCTACTTTGTAAACCTAATAAGTCATAAGTTTTTTAAAGAGTAAATTACACGAATGGTCCCTATGGTTTTGGGTAATTTGCACGTTTGGTCCCTAACTTATTTTTTTAACTCGTAAGGTCCTACTGTTTGTTTTTGTTATGCACTTGGTCCATGTCTCAAAAAGACTATTTTGCACTTGATTTTTTTAATTTATTTAAATAGACACACTCCTTACCCACCCCCTCACCTTACCTTACCTACCCCACAATTTTTCCCTATTTAAATAATAGTCTTTTTAAGTGTGACATGAACCAAACACGTAACAAAAACAAACAGTAGGGACCAAGCGTGTAACAAAAACAAATAGTAAAGACCTTCCGAATTAAAAAAAATAAGTTAGGGACCAAGCGTGCAAATTACACCAAACCATAGGGACCATTCGTGTAATTTACTCTTTTCTAAAATGTCTTTTTAAGAAGTTAAGAAATTGTGAATCTTTAAAATCTCATTTTTAAAGATTAAACAAAAATTTGTTTTAAAATGTCTTTTTCTATATCCAAACATTTTTTTATGTTTAGTGAAATAACTTGTAGAACTTTTTTTTTTTTTGTAGAATTAGATTACTGATTTCTTTTTTTTTTTATAGAATTAGCCCTTAGAACATGTTTTTCTTATAAAACATATGAAAGTTGTTATGTAATATAACCATTATTTGACTAAATCAAGGTGTATTGATTTTTGGGAAATACAACTTGGTGCATGAATTGTGATTCCTTCTTAGTTCTTAGACTGCAGGGTGTGGGTGAGAAGTTTCCCTCATTTTTTTCCTGTCACGTCATCATTTCCCTCACTTTCCTTTCCCTCAATAAAACCCAAGGAATAGGTGGGAAACTTCCCTCACTATTTGTTTTTTTTATAAATAAAATTAATTCATTTTTATAATTTATAATTTTTAAATTAATAGTAAACATAAAGTTTAATTAAAGAGAAAAAACATTTCATTGATTAAAATAAAAATTACATTAAACCTAATATTTAAATAAAAAGGTATGGGTTAAAAAATGTTGGGTGTTGTAGTATTTATAGTGGGGGAATATATATATATATATATATATATATATATATATATATATATATATATATATATATATATATATATATATATATGGAAGAGTTATATAGAAAATGAATAATTAGGGCATACCTAATTCTGTTGCAAATTACACAAATGGTCCATATGATTTTATTAAAACTACATGTTTAGTACATACGCAATTCTACATTAACTTTCAATTAAAAAAAACTGGCTTTTTAACTTGCACGATTTGCGCCTTTGCGGTGACCACGTAATTAAAAACTTTCATTTCCAATTAAAAAATAAAGAAGATAAACTGTCTTTTTGACTTGCCGGCGTTATTAGTGGTATGAAATCGGCAACAATAAACATTCCTCCCCACGCCTCCTATCCAACACCCCGGTGCGGTGTTCATCGCAGCGGGAAACGTCTCACCCCTCCTTCTCGCACCGGCTCCGTCCGGCCCTATAATACGATTAGAAAACTATATGTTTGTTGTTTAAAATATCTATCTTGATATATGATTTGAGCTTTCTAAAATTGTTTAAAATCAATATGCAAGTTATTGCATGTAGCTTTACTAGGATAATTGATGCATTATGTGAAATAATAGTTGGTTATAAATTAGTTATCAATTAGCATGTGGATGCTAGAATACAACTTTGCATAAACATTTGGCTTGTTAATTTTTTTAAACAGTCAACTATATAAAAAAGAACTAGCAAAAAGCTAGAAAAACAATTACAAATAATTTAAGGGGATTTTTAACCAACTAATCCAAACTAAAGAACATTTATGATTCTTAAGGGAGGTAGGAGTCATTCCCTCCCAACCCACTGAACCCACTGCCACATCAGTACATAAAATCGCATTCACTACTTCTTTCTCGGAATTTGACCTTGGTTTGTGTTTTTTTTTTTTTGGCAAAAATGGAGTAATATAGGTCAATACATATCGGTGGACGGCAAATGGGCAACAAGCTGCGTCGCTAGCCCTTTCTGGATGGCAAAACTAATTCTTTTGAAAACAACATCTGTGGATCTAGGAGATATGACATTAGAATGCATGACCCGTCAGACTCTGTTGAGGAGCTCCACCGCCTCTGGTGCGAGAAAAGCAAATGTATCAAATGTAAAAAGGTATATACACATGTTGATTTTCTATACATGCATTCTCGTGCTTGGCCACTTTCCATGCAGCGACTTTCAAAGCGGCATGCTCTGCTGTGAAACCCCCGCTCCTCAAACCGACGAGAGGAGAGACCCCAGTAAGATCCACACACACGTGCTTCCCTCCTACCCATCCAAAGACCAAAATATCAGCCGGTCTAAGTGTGGATCTTTCAGCCTGCGGGTCCGTCAAAAAGTTCACTGGCGCTTCTTTTTTCGCAGAAATACCAACACGCTGACAAGCATCAAAGAGAACATCCCTAACCACATCATGTCTGTACTTGAAACCAGGAGCTCTCTACAATGAACCGGATGTTCCCCAAAGGTATCCAAACATGCCTTGCGGCAAACTGGGCATATCTCGTCAATTATGAATAAAGGAATCATGAGGCGGTAACGAAAGATAGTTCGGTACTCCACAGGAGACATATGCTGGCCAAGGCCATCAATAGGGATAGTTAGCAGAAAATCCTGAGCATGAGGTGCCCGAAGACACTCAAAAACTGCTTTCTGTCTAACAGTCATGTCGAAGTCGACTTTCATATCTTTGACGATTTTGCTAAAAAGGGCACACGCCAATGCTTTTTGGGAGTTAGGGGGGGGGGGGGGGGGACGGTGTCCTTATTAGTGAAACCACTACAGTCGAATCTTGGAATTGATAGACAAATTATCTGTCAAAGAGAATAAACCTTGAACCGAGTCGTTGGATAAAAATTGTTATTACATTCTCGATTAGGGGTGAGCATGTATAACCGAATGCCAACCCGACCCGACCTGTAATCGAATCAAGCCCGTACCTTAACCGAACCAAACTTGCCATACCGATACGGTATTCGGTTCTTGATATTCATGAATTTGGGGTTTTGGGGTTTCCGTATTACCAGGTTAGTACCAATCAATTACCCAAAAAAACCGATGTAGAACTAGAACCGATATCCGTTGCTTTTGGTTTCCTTCTTGGGCCATAATAAACTTAGGAAAACAAGTATTATGGGATATTGACATGGATCTATATGCATGAATCCATGACCCATGAACAAATATGCAAATCGTGTATTGGTGAAAAGGTAATCTTTTTTCCATGACCCATGAGAACCCGGGCCTTATTTACAAACATTGTATGTAAATCGGTTTGACATGGTATCGTTACCAAATTACCCGAATCGGTCCCAACACTCATTTACATTTCGGTCTTCAGTGTTCATATTGGCAAACAAAAAAACAAACAGGTACCAACTGGTTCAGTACCGATTTAGTCCCACGAATGTGTCTCACTTTCACACACATTCAAGTTGATGTTAGAGATTCTGCCTATGACATTATATGTATAATAATTATGAAATACAGTTAAGCTTCTGTATTTAGGCAAATTAGATTATTATGTATCTAATAGGTTTTGTATTTGAGAATATGTTTTTGTTCCTTATGTAAACACTAAAATATGTACTACTATATTTTGTGAATATATTATAATTATCAATGTTTATATTAACCCCACATATATGTAATCTCATTTTTTTGTGTATTATCATTGAAGAGGTGCCGCCGATTTTGCTCTGTTAATTGAAGTTCAATGACGACAATGGGTTGAAGATGAAAAACAATGACTTGGGTCAAATTTATAGGCTTTAGTCCCAAAGTATGAATGGGAAATTTGACACCCTAATCCTTTGACAAGCGGTGATTAGTTAAGGTCTCTTTTTTTCAAAAAATAATCAAAAAACTTATTGTTAAATCATTAAAAAGTTATATAGAAGGTTAAAATATAAAAGTTGCATACTATACTATAGATTTTTTTTTTTTTTTATAATTCGAAAAAATATATCCAATAGAGGTGAATTTTAAAAAATGCAAAATTTTTATAGTTAAGTTATAGAAGAATTTTGTATTTAACTAAACTAAAAAATAACAAAAAATATATCCCAATATTTGAAAATGTCCAAAAATCTGACATATTCATCAACTTTCAATTTTAAGGGTAAACAAGTAAAGACAACTACCATTAATTATGAACATCATATATCGCTTATTGTGTTTCTCATGTCACCCCCCATTTATCTAAACTCCAAACATGATAATGGTACAAGTCCAAGACTATTTCCAATTACTTGACCAATTTCAAAGGCCTCATCATTACATTATCTTCATGATCCAATATCTGCAACACAAAAATTAAAATATATAAACAATTTTAAAATTGACTGAGTAAATAGAAATATGTATCTACTCATAAATAAATAGAAATATGTCAAAATAAATAACTTACATGGCAATGATAAACGTAGCCCGGCTCTGCAGTTGCATCAAAAGGATACGAAGCATTTGTATGCACATAAGCAAACTTGACAACGATCTTAGTGACGTATCCAGGTTGCATCTTATACACATTCTTCCATCCTTTCTCGTAAGGCACAACACTCAGTTGTTCCCCACTCGCGTATTTTTCAATTTGGCATTTTTCAGCATTGTTTAATTTTGTCATACATTCTCTAAACTTTTCTATATCGGTTATATTTGTCTGATCCAACACTTTGAACAATCCAAGATGGATATGCAACGGGTGATTATCCTCCGTTAGATTGATCACATTCCAAATTTCTGTGCTTCCCACCTTAGGTTTCTCAGTTACTCGATCATCATACGACATCGCATTTATATACAAATGAGTTGGCTCATCAATTGCACTTGTGTACTCATACATAGCAATGTAACGTGTTTTTGACACTGTTGATAAATCTGGCATCGGATATTTTAGTAGATTTTTAGGAACCCTCGATGAATCAAACTCACGTTTACTATTGATGATGAATTTCATGACTTTTCCGTTGGACTCATTGACCGGGTCTCCACCCGGGTATGGGTAAGCCGCCCCGTTTTGTAAAATAACCGAATTTGATTTTGAGTCTGAAAAGTCAACAACCACGTCAGCTATCTCAGATGGGCCCAAGAGTATCTCTTTTGTGAATACTGATTGTTCGCTATAGACCGAGTCAGATCCTACGTGGATGAATTTTAGACCGTTGCTGAAAAAGAACTTAAAAAACCTAGCGTTACTAGCGTTGATGATACGAAACCGGTATTTTCTCCGGCGAACATTCATATAGGGCCATGCTTTTCCGTTGACAACAATGGCATCGCCGAAATACTCCGGCTGCCATTGCGGGTGTATACTTGGGTTGTTTCCGGTCGGATCCATGTAAAGCGATCCGTTAGTTCGAAAGCTCCGGTCGAAAACAACCAACGGCCGATCAAATTCATCGCCGGAGGGTAAACCGAGTGGGGATTCAACGTCGTGATGACGGATGATGTATGCTCCGAACAACCCTGCAAGAAGGTTGACTCTGGTCAACCCCATGGCGTGATCGTGGTAATACAAGTTTCCGGGTTGTTGTTGGTTATGGTAGTGATAAGTCTTTTTAGTCCACGTGGGCCCTCGTTCTTTAAATCGAGCTGTGAACCATGATTTTGAGTTTCCGTCGCTTTCTGGTTCGTCGATTCCGCCGTGGAGGTGAACCACCGTCGGAACGCCGGAGTTTGTACGAGGGATAGCCGTTGGGATGGTGGGGTCCCATGGGAGTATGTGTTTTGAAGGGAGGAGATTTTGCCACGTCACGTGGGTGCTGACACCGTGGACGGTTTCGATTGTTGGACCAGGGACTGTTGCTGTGCGCTTCGTTTCACCGAATGCGAACACTTTGGTTAGCGGGAGATCCTTGTGAAATTTCTGTGAGAATATAAAATTATAAAAATATAGAAATAAGTTGGCTTTTACTTATTTAATTAAAAAAATAAAGATAATAATCACAATTCACAAGAAACCTTTAAGCTTTCTGAAAGAATATGAAAAGACAAAAGTGGGGCTGTGAAAAAAATGAAACTTGTCTTGGTTTTGCAGAGGTATGTATGAGTTGGATGTCACCCACCAAAGTGACTATTCCCAAGTATAAATATTTTCCCATATTTTAATCAAATAAATATATTAATTTTCTTTAAAACATGCTTTTAATCTGAAAAAAAAGTAAATTCAACCTTTGATCAGATATATAATTCTCTTAATTATAGGTAGTCAAATGTTTAGAAAATTATTCACATGTACTAAACAGAAAAATTTTGTAAATCAAAATTAATAATATTAAAAAAGGAAAATAAAGAGCATCGACAAGATAAAAACTGTAACAACTAAAACCTAAAATTTTTGGACTTATTCTTGTTATAAATTGTTGCAATAACTAGTGACGATAAATTTTCAAACGCAAAGACTCTTCCACTTATTATGACCCACAAGTGAAAAAAATGCCAATTGTAAGAAAAAAAATTGTATGTGTAATCATTTTTTATTTTAGAAAATGCATTGTTATAATCAAATAAGGTTTGCAGTTTTTAATTTGTAACAACATGTTTCATCTGCCGATAAATCTATAATATATTTAAAAATAAGTTTTCTAGGACAAAAAATAAATGAAAGTACACTATTTTGATTATGAGAAAATTAATAGATCATAGCAGAAGTTGCTTTAAACATTGTTGAGGAAAATTCATTAATCATAAATGAAAGTTGTTGTAACTTTAAACAACGAGAAGATAGTACAAAGAATAAAGTGATAGATTAGATTAAAGAAAGAATGCAAGATTGAAGGGATACCCAATACTTTTGAAACATGGAGATTTTGAGAGTCTTGGAAACAGGAACACCGTGAAGAATATCGTAGCCTTTGATTCTGGGCATATCTGGAATTTCATCCACAAACATTTCCAATTGAGATGGACTCACGAGCCCTACATCCCCCAAAACAGCTCCGAACAAAGCCAAAATATGAAGTAGAAGAAGGGTATACATCATTTTTATTCCAATTCTACCCTTCTCTAAACCTGCATGAACATGAATACACACACTATGTGTGTAAGAAAGATGGAGAAAGAGAGAGAGAAGGAGAGGAAGATGTATGGGGTTTAGTGTAATAATGGAATTAGATTCATATATATTGTGTGTGAATGTGATAATTATTGGGTGGTGTATGTAGTGTGAAGAGGGTCTTTATGTTTCTAAAACAAACAAAATAGTTTATTCTATTTTATTTTTTAAAATCTAAAACTTTTTGAATTTTTTAAAAGTTATAAAACCTTGAACTCGTTATTTTATTTTCGGATAATTTCTAATTAAAATCATAGAAAGTAGAATGCATATATATATGATATATATATATATATATATATATATATATATAATATATATATATATATATATATATATATATATATATATATATATATATGGACAACTATTGTGCGGACGTATGGACAATGTTATTTTATGAGAATTACTAAGAGAATAAGTTGTTTAGCAATGTGAATACGTTCAACCTCACACAACTATTGTTATTTTAATGCATTCTCGCTGATTCTTATTTATTTTTGTTCTCACGCATCGTTTTTCATTTATTTTCGTTTTACAGAATACGATTCAATAAACATTCTGACAGCATTATGACAGAATGAGAATAATTAAAAAAAAAATCTATAATAATCTTATAGACGATTTAATTAGTAAGAATGTGTGATAACAATAATAATAGTTATATAAGATTGAACGTATTCATATTATCAAACATCATATTTTATTTATCATTCTCATAGAATAATATTTTTCACACGTCCGCACAATAGATGTTAATCTATATTTGAACTTAGCATTATATATATATATATATATATATATATATATATATATATAATATATATTACAATTAATATTGAAATCCTTAAAAAACATAGGTTTTGTTTATTTGGAGATGTGTCTTTAATTAAACACTAATATCAAATCATAATCATGGATTGCACGCCTATTAAAAAATAATACGAAATTAAATTCTAACATTTAATTTTAGAAGGAAAAGAAATTAAAGTGGAGTAGAAAGAAGTTAAGTGGGGGAGGTATCATTAGAAATGTGAAGGTTATATGTATGCTAATCTAAGTATCCAATTAGTTATGGTTAATAATTTTCTATTTATTCCACCATGCCATCATGAAAAGAATTCATTAATGATAGTGATATTAGTTATAAAGATTTTCTTTTAAAAGGGTCTTGCTAATTAGATACCATTAGAAGTTAATCTGATTTACATATTTCGAAATCACGATATAGTTTTACATGGAATAAATTTTATATATATTTAAGTATTTGAAAATTAATTCAACTCTAATTATTGAGAATTGATAGTGATATTATTTATAAAAGCTTTTTAAAAATATTTTTTTTACTTTAGTGGAGGGAGTCTATCTTTCCCACCATTCTCGATACGATGTCATGGCTTTCCTACTCACTGGAATCAATGGATCATGGGGTGTCTGCAATCTGCTCGGACTTCTGTTCTAGTGAATGGTTCACCCACGAAGGAATTCTCGGTGGAAAAAGGTGTCAGACAAAGTGATCCATTATCAACTTTTCTCTTTGTATTAGCTATGGAAGCCCTCAATGTCGTCATGTCTAAAGCCTGTAATATGGGAATATTTAGGGGTACACATACTCCAAATATGGGTCCGATTTTAGTCACTTATTCTATACAGATGATGCGTTGTTTGTTGGTGAATGGCCCCATATTAATCTTCTAAACCTTGCAAGAATTCTCTGGTGTTTTAACTTGGCTTCAGGACTTAGGGTAAACTTCACCAAAAGTAAGGTCTTTGGGATTGGAGTGGTTGTTCCTGAGCTAGAGTATTTCTCTCAAATCTTAAATTGCCAGTCTTCAACTCTACCTTTCACATACCTCGGGTTACCGGTTTGTAACACCCCGATTTTCAGGTATTGATTTATATAAGAATTTCTTTGATTTCAAGGTCTACTCGACGAGTTGGTTGCCCTACTCGTCGAGTAGCAGCGGGTTGGTCCATGTATTTTAGTGACCTACTCGCCGAGTCCAAGAAGGGACTCGATGAGTAGGAGCTGGCAGATGAAACCCTAAATCACGAGGTATTGCACCCTATTTAAAGGATCATTGGCCTTCCTCAGCCTCCCTTTACAGTTACTTGACACCCTTAAACCCTAATTCGTGTGAGTGTACTCAATTTGTGTTCTTAAGCTTGGCAAGAGGATTTTTGGTGGGAAGAAGCTTGGAGATCAAGTGACTAGGAGCAAGGAACGTGTGGAACCAGAAATCTACCTCAGTTGGCATCCTTTTTGGAAGGTATTAAGTCGTTATCCTAACCCCCTTTTCATTCTAGATCTATTTTGGGTAGATTTTAGGGCTTTTCTAGCTTATTAGGAAGCCTTTCTTGTGTTTGAGCTAAGATCTGAGGTTGCAACCTCAGATCTGAACTCTCTTGGGTCTCTAAGTCCATAAAGTTTCCAGCTTTTTCCCAAAGGAGCTGCCGGGGATACCTCCGGAGCGACAGGTGGAGTTCAGGATCGACCTAGTCCCTGGTGCGGCTCCGATAGCCAAGGCACCATATCGGTTGGTTCCTCCCGAGATGCAGGAGTTGTCTATGCAGCTGCAGGAGCTGCTAGACAAGAGATTTATCAGGCCGAGTAGCTCGCCTTGGGGAGCCCCGATCTTGTTTGTCAAGAAGAAGGACGGGTCACATCGTATGTGCATAGATTACCGGGAGCTGAACAAGGTAACAGTGAAGAACCGTTACCCACTCCCGAGGATAGATGATTTGTTCGACCAGCTTCAGGGAGCATCTTGGTTTTCCAAGAAAGACTTGCAATCAGGCTACCATCAGATGCGATTCAGGGATGAGGATATACAGAAGACTGCTTTTCGGACTCGCTATGGCCACTACGAGTTCGTGGTGATGCCCTTTGGGCTCACCAATGCTCCTGCCGCGTTCATGGACCTCATGAACCGCGTATGCAGACCGATGCTGGATCGGTTTGTGATAGTTTTTATTGATGATATCCTGGTCTACTCCAAGACACAGGAGCAGCATGAGGAGCATCTGTGTGAGGTTTTGGATACTCTGAGGAGGGAGAGCTTGTACGCCAAGTTCTCCAAGTGTGAGTTCTGGTTGCGCGAGGTGCAGTTTCTTGGGCACCTTGTCAACCAGAACGGTATTCTGGTCGACCCGACCAAGGTGGAGGCCGTGATGAGATGGGAGGTTCCGAAGTCTCCATCTGAGATTCAGAGTTTTCTGGGATTAGCCGGCTATTACCGGAGATTCATCCAGGATTTCTCCAAGATAGCCGTACCTTTGACTCGACTAACGAAGAAGGTCGTAGTCTTTCGTTGGGGGCCTGAGCAACAGGCAGCATTCGAGACACTGAGACAGAGATTGTGTGAGGCGCCGATCTTGGCCCTGCCAGAGGGCGTAGAGGATTTTGTAGTGTACTGCAACGCGTCTATTTCGGGCTTGGGCGCAGTATTGATGTAGAGGGGGCATGTCATCGCCTACGCCTCGAGGCAGTTGAAGCCCCACGAGGAGAACTACCCGACGCACGATTTGGAGTTGGGGGCGGTCGTCTTCGCCCTCAAAATTTGGCGACACTATCTCTATGGGGTTCGATGTACCATTTACACGGACCATAAGAGTTTGAGATACCTCATGGATCAGCCGAATTTGAACATGAGGCAGCGTCGGTGGCTAGATGTGGTGAATGATTATGATTGTGAGATCCTTTACCATCCGGGGAAGGCCAATGTGGTGGCCGACGCGCTTAGCCGTAAGGCAGCGCCGATTAGAGACATTTGCATGCGGATGACAGTAGTGACTCCACTGTTGGAGCAGATCCGAGAGGCCCAACAGGAGGTTATGAGGGAGGAACATTGGAAGAGCGAGCGTATAGTGGGTCAGGTTTCCTCTTTCGACTTTGATAGCCGAGGGTTATTGACTCTTCACCGTAGGGTGTGGGTCCCCTATCATGGAGGCGTGCACCAGATATTGATGGAGGAGACGCACAAATCCAGGTTTTCTATCCATCCCGGAGCGACGAAGATGTATAGAGATCTTCGTCTTGACTATTGGTGGCCCTGCATGAAGCGGGATGTAGTATGGTGTGTGGAGCGGTGCTTGACCTGTAGGAAGGTCAAGGCCGAGCACCAGAGGCCACACGGCAAGATGCATCCGTTAGATATTCCCATGTGGAAATGGGAAGATATTACTATGGATTTCATCACCAAACTTCTCAGGACCGCGCGGGGAGTGGATTCCATATGGGTCATCGTGGATCGATTGACCAAGAGTGCCCATTTCATACCGATCCAGGAGAGTATATCGGCCGAGAAGCTGGCCGACATCTACATTCGAGAGGTGGTGGCTCGGCATGGAGTGCCAGTCTCCGTGATTTCCGACAGAGATGTGCGGTTCACCTCCAGATTCTGGAAGAAATTCCACGACGAGTTGGGTACTCGTCTACACTTTAGAACCGTTTTCCACCCGCAGACGGATGGACAGAGCGAGCGGACCATCCAGACTCTAGAGGATATGCCGCGGGCATGTGTGCTAGACTTCGGTGGTAGTTGGGATACCTATCTCCCATTAGCTGAGTTCTCCTACAACAACAGCTACCACACGAGTATCGATCGTCCTCCCTTTGAGATGTTATACGGGAGGAAGTGCAGGACCCCGATATGTTGGGGTGAGGTGGGCCAGAGGGTCATGGGGAGCACCGAAGTGGTGCTCAAGACGACAGAGAGGATTCAGCTGTTGGGTTTTGAGCATTCTAACACTCCTATGGTGTACATGCAACCCTATAAACCTTGGATCTATGTTTTCTCTATTATACATGCAAATATTAACTATTCCAAGGTTTCATCCTAACTAGCATATTATGAAGCACCTATACTACAAAGTTCTAGTTAGATGACATACCTTTTGATGTAGCTTGATGTCTTCAAGCTTTAAGAGCTTAGCCCCAATAGTGTGGAAGCCTCAAATGGAATCACAAATCACCAAAACACCTTGGAAGAACTTGAGAGAATATGTATGCACACTAAAATCGGCCCACTCTTATTTTCACACACTTGTGCCAATTTTGTGAGCCAAG